CCCCCCCCCAGCCCCCTCCCCCCCCCCCTCCCCTCCCTCTGCCGCAGGTGAGCCGCAAGAGCCACGACATGTCGCACGAGGACCTCGCCAACCCGCTGTGCGCGGAGCCGCGCGGCCGCAACATGGCCCGCGGCCACGCCCCGATGACCGATGGGACGCAGGAGGAGCTGCAGGCCCACCACGAGGGGTCGCCTGCACCGCTCTTCGCGCCCCACTACTCGACCGCCTCGCGCGAGGCGATCGCGAGCGCGGAGAGGTACGTGGGCGCGTTGCGGACGCTTCCGGCCCCCGACCGGGCGGTGCGGAGCAGGGTGTACGCCACGCTGATGCGGCTCCGCGACCCGGCCGAGTGGGCGCCTCACCAGACCGTGCAGGCCTTCGACGAGCAGAATCCGTCCCTGCAGCTGCGTGTCTTGCTCGACGATCTCTGCTACGACCTGAGGGAGACTCGCGGCCTCGCGGGGCGTCTTCACACTTCCTGGACACCTCCTGGACACCTCCTGGACACTTCCTAGGAGACTCTCGGCCTCGCGGGCGTCTCGGCCCGCTTCACGCTCCTCGACTTCGACCGCGCGGGGAGGCCTCTCCCGCGGAGCACGGTGCGGGTCTACGTCGAGCGGGGCCAGGGCCGCCGGCTCGAGTTCCGGGGCAACGGCGCAATCGGAAGGCAGCGGGCGGGCTCGCACATGCAACCCCGGCACAGGCAGCACTGGGGCGGCGGGGGGCGGGCGCTGCTCCACGGGAGGGATCACTAGGCGCGTGCGTGATGGGCGGCTCCGAACCTTTTGAGAGCGGGCTGTGATGCACGCCGCCGAATGCGCTGCACGCCCCGGGCCCCGCGGAGCGCGGTCGTCTTACCGTCTACCCCGCGAGAGTGCCGTCAACGCACGCTCTGGCGTGGGCGTATTTTAGAGCGGAGCGGGCTGCGTGACCGATGACGTGGAGACTGGAGTGTCCGGTTCCACAGTTTGATCGTGAGTGTTCGTAGAGAGCCGTATATCTCGGCTATGGTGGGTGTGTGTGCGCGCGCGTGTGTCTGTGTCGTGTGTGTGCGTGGCTTTCTGAATTCTGTAGAGAAGGTCACTTAAAACAGGGGCAGGGGGAAGACCCGGACTCGGCTCGGTCGCCCGCGTCTCTTGAAGTTGAACTCTTGGCCTCTCTCCACACGAGAGCTCCCCACCCCCTGCGATCGCCACACCCCACAGTCCTCACAGCCTCGGCCTTGTGGGCAGCCACCAGGCTGCACTTCTCAGTCCAGAGGTATTCCGTCTCTAGGCTTTGCAGCACCGGCCTCCGCGCTCGCGCCGTCGCCACCAGCGGCGTCCTCTGCAGCAGCAGCAGGCGTGGCGTCAAGCTCGCCAAACTCCGCGCCGTCCGCATTGCCCGCGCCGTCCGCCGCGCCGCCCGCCGCGCCGTCCGCCGCGGCGAAGTCCCCAAAGTCGTCGCCGCCGCCGTCGCCGCCCGCCTCTGCAAAGTCGCCAAAGTCGTCCGCGTCGATGGCTGCTGCGGGTGGCGCGCCGGGCGGCACGGCGGGCCCGGCTGCCGGAGATGGCGGCGGCGGCGGCGCGAGCATGCCGGGCTTCGGGGGCGGGGCGATGAGCCCGCCGCCCGGCGGCGGCGGCAGCGAGAGCCCCCCTCCGCCCGCCGCCTTCTCCCTCGACCTCCGCCCCTCCCCCTTTGGCAGGTTGACCTTGATGCTGATCTTTTCGCCGTCCTTGAGAGAGAGGTCCCGCAGCGGCGCCTCCGCAGCAGCAGCCTCCGCCTCCTCGCGGATGGCGTCCGCCTCCTTCTGCCGCGCCACGCCCTTCCTGCGAGCGCGCCGCGCGGTCGGCTGAGCGCGCGCGCCGACCTCTCACCCGATCTGGCCAGCTGATCTGGCCAGCTGATCTGGCCAGCTAGAGGCCTCTCGAGGCACGTGGGCACGGGCGGGCGGGCGGGCTGGGCGAGGGGGAGGGAGGGGCGCGGGCGGCCGCGCGCCAGTGGTCCTGGAGCGTCGCGTTGAAGTTGTACGAGTCGTCGCGGTCGCGGAAGCCCATCCCGATGAACGCGTGCCGCCCCTTGCCGTCGTCGATCCGCAGCACAAAGTAGCGCGACGAGTCAACGACGGGGTCGATGGCCTTGGAGCCGGGCTCGTTGACCGGGCACATGGCGAAGAGCGCACCGCTCGTCGGGTCGGTCAGCCGCACCTGCACCACGTTTCCGATGCTGAACACACTCAGCTTGCCCGACCAGAGCCACTTGTTGACGTCCCAGTCGTTTGCGCGGTGGCCCGACTCGTTCTTCAGCGGGGGTATTTGGTACACGTACATCTCCTGGCACGTCCACAGGAGCACCTCTGTGTCCGTCGGGCCCGAAGCGATACGCTGCACCGCGACCGGAGCGGCGCTGGCCGACATTGAGTTTGTTCGGCGCCCTATAGCGCGCGTTTCTTTTTCTCTGCGGGGCGGTGAGCAGTTTGCAGTCGGAGTCCCGCCGTTCTCATGCCAGCGTGTTGTGCAAGATAAAAAACTTTTCCCCCGCCGCCCGGTCGCTTCGCGTCCCATAGCCGCCGCCGCAGCCACCGCCGCCGACCGACGCGGCTGCCGCGGCCGCCGAGGCTGCCGCAGCTGCCGCTTCCGACGGCACCGTAGCCGACGTCAACGACGCCGGCGCCGGCACGGCACGGTGAGTTCATTTCCTCTTTTCCTCGGCGCCGTCGGGTCCGGCGTCGCATGTTTTCTTTTTCGGCACGATTCTTTTGTTCGCGATGTCCCGCCCCACCGCGCTTCAACAAAACAACTCTCTCTCCGCGCTTCTCGCGCCGTCGCGCCGACTCCTCCGCCATCGCCACTCCCTCGCCGAACACGCCGCCGCCCACCCGCCTCCTCGACCTCCCCACGGAGCTCCTCGTGCGCTCCCTCTCTCGCTGCGACCCCGCCGACATCGGTCGCGTCACGGCCGTCTCGCTGCTCTTCCACGCCTCGCTTGCGGCGGAGGGCATCCGCTTGTGGGCGCAAGAGCGCGGCTTCGAGCTGCCAGCCAGAGGGCGAGGGCTGCGTCGTGTTCGTGCGGTGGCTGTGCTTCGCGGCGCTGCTGTGCGAGGCCAACCCGCCGGCGAGGGCGGCGGCAGGCCTTCAGCACAGCCTCCGGAGGGAGCGGGACATGCCGTACACACCCTCTCCTGCCATCGACGGACCTCTCGGGGCGGTGTTTTCACGATGCGCTGTGGGTGCCAGCTCTATGCCCGGACCGTCAACGAACGCATCCCTGACTTCTATGTGGACCTCGATGCGCCATATGCGCACCAGGTCCTCGGCGACCGCAACCCTCAATGCACACCGTGCACGGAGTCGCTCAGCGAGCGTGTGCGCTGAGGCACGCGGTTCGGGCAGCGTGCCTTCTCTTGTGCCCACCTATGGTTGCGATGGTGCCTCTTTCGATGACTTTTTTCTCTGTCCATAAATATTTTTCACACGCACACCACACACACACTTCACGTGCGCGCAGCGGTAAGTATGTGCCTGGCGTGCGGGTGTGCTGGGGCCTCTCTGTCTCTCATGTCTCAATATCTCGCTGCATCTCACGCCCAACGCTCTCTTTTCATTATCACATTCACACCGCGGTTCGAGCCGCGGGCACTGCACGCGTCGCGGCACTCGCATTGGCCCCTGCGGCGGCCACGCCCCGCTGCCACCTGTCATGCTCACGGCGTGAACGCGCGGATCCGCTCGATGGCGTCGGCGTCGTGCTTTGGCGTGGCGCCGGGCATGCTCGCGACGAAGGCGCCTATGGGGCGCGTCGAGGACGCGTCGGGGAGAGGCGCGTGTCGCTAGGGCCTCGCTGTGTCGGCTGCACACGCGCACAGTCATGGATTTGAGGGCGTCGGCGCTGTCTGGAGCTGGGGCTATGGCTACTCTGGCATGTTGAGCCACGGCGACGAGCAGAACCAGCTGCTGCCAACGAAGGTCGAGGCCTTTGCGGGGCGGCGCGCGCCGTCGCTGTGTCGGCTGGAGAGTACCACAGCCTCGCCATCACCGCCGACGGCAGCCTCTGGAGCTGGGGCGATGGGAGCCCAATCAGCAGCCGCCACACTGTAATTTAGTCAGACTGTATCTAAAAAGAACCGAACACCGCGCGGGCTTCGCAATCGACGAGGGACAGGCGCAACAATCTCCGTCACGAGACGCGGGCTTAGAGTATATGAGAACGAGAGACGCGGCGGCCCAATTTTTCGCCAAAGTGCTGTGTCGTGTCGCGGGCTCCTCTCTCCGGAAGAGTCTCTCGGTGACGGTCTCGCTCGCGACTCCCTCTGCACTCTCCGCGCACTCTCGGGGCCTCTCTCTGTCTCTCGACCCCGTCGACTCGGCGCTCGCGGGCGGTTCTATCCGAACTGAACACGTTCTGTGATCTGTCGACGCGGGACGCCGGACAGTGGTCGTAGAAGAGATAGTAAGAGACTCCTGGTGTGTGCGTCCCTGTTCGTTTCATAAAAGGCGCTCTCCGAAAAGATGAAACGAAATCCAGAGTGAGAGGACCGCTCAAGCACGCAGCATCGGCGGGTCTCGATCGTCCGTCACATAGCGCCCGACGCATTGGAGCCGCCCAGCCGGCGCCGCCGGCCCCTCCTCAGCACTCCACCGCGCCATCGCCCATCGCGCCCCCTCTTGCGCTCGCCCTCCTCGCGCAGCAGCTTCGCCTCCGGAAGAGTCTCTCGGTGACGGTCTCGCTCGACTCCCTCTGTACTCTCCGCGCACTCTTGGGGCCTCTCTCGGGCGGTTCTGTCCAACTGTCGTCTGAGAGATTCTCTCTCTTGTGACTTGTCGTCTCCTGTCGTACACTGTCGACGGAAAAAGTCTGACGACAGTGTCGTAGAAGAGAAAGTAAGAGACTCCTGGTGTGTGTCCTGTTCGTTCCATAAAAGGCGCTCTCAAAAGATGAAACGAAATCCAGAGAGGACCGCTCAAGCACGCAGCATCGGCGGGTCTCGATCGTCCGTCACATAGCGCCCGACGCATTGGAGCTGCCCAGCCGGCGCCGCCGGCCCCTCCTCAGCACTCCACCGCGCCATCGCGCCCTCTTGCGCTCGCCCTCCTCGCGCAACAGCTTCGCCGTGTAGAGCTTCAGCATCCCCTCCGGCGGCAGCCGATCGTACACCGCCGACGAGGCTCCCGACCGGGTGTGGCCGTTCGGAAGCAGTTCATCGGTGAGCGCCGTGTGGCCGGCGTCGTCAACCTCGACCACATGCGCCCTCGGCGAGCGCGCCGACGCCGCCGCCGCCGCCGCCGCCGCCGCCACCGCCGCCGCCCGCGCCTCGTCGATCGGCTCCAGCACTGCCGTCACGCAGCCCGACGGGCGGCACATCCCGTGCCGCCGCTCGTCTGCATCGCCGTGGCTCCGAAGCTGGCAAATCGGCTCGGGCACCTTGCCTCCGCCGCCAGGCCGGTAGGGCTCCTGCGACGGGCACACGACCGCGACGCAGCGAGGCATCGACAGGCACGCCGCCAGAGCCAGCGCGCGAGGCAGCGTGCACTGCTTGCCAAACGGCGGCGGATCGAGGCATCCGTACCGCGGGTCCGAGGGCAGGCCGGCCCAACCGATGGAGTCGGGGCCGGAGCGGATGCGGACGTGATGGTTGGGCATTCTCGCTCGCTCGTTACGAGAACGGAGTGCTGATGAGTTGTGGAGATGCGTCGGTTCTGCTGTCGTCTTCTGATAAATGCGGTATGGAAGATACAAAGAGACGGAGGAGCAACGAGCGCCCTGGCGTGAGCCGAAGACACTCCCTCCGTAGACACTGATCACGGTGGGTCACAACAACGAGGCACGAGAGCGTGCACGACAGAGCGACAACGCAGCGCACTGCCGTCCAGTCGGCGAAGGGACGGCTGCTGCGCAAAGTGATCAGTTCTAATGAATGTACCGGGGCCCAACGGATAGATGAATCCGGGGCACCCTCCGCTCGAATCCCTGGCCGGGGGTTCGAGGTGGCCCCCACCCTGGGGCCTCCCATCAAAGGGACTGCGGCAGAAGACGCCCAATCTTGCACAAGTGCAAGAACCATACGTCTTCTGATAAATGCAGTATGGAAGATACAAAGAGACGGAGGAGCAACGAGCGCCCTGGCGTGAGCCGAAGACACTCCCAACTGCGCTCCGTCACCGGTGTCGCGGTCTCCCCCACTGAGGACGATCTGCGGGGGGGAGTCGCGCCGCCGGCATGTATCTGTGCAACTGTGTTTCTGCCTTGTCCCGTTTGATGGAGCAAAGTCACGGGCCGCCCGCGCTTGAAGGCGGTCGCGCCAGGCGCGGGCGGCACTAGTTGCCGGCGATCCGCTTGGGCAGCGCCCACGCTTGCCTCTGGCTGGGTCTCCATAGGTCGCGCGGCCCGAATGCTCGAATTGAACGTCTCGCAAGCTGGCGTCGCTCGCGTAGCTGTGGCAGGGCGATCCTCCCCCCGGATGAGGGAGATCTCTAGCCTCCTAACGAGGTTGCCCTCCGGCTGGCTGTTGCCGACAGCAGTTAACACCTCCGCAGTTGCGTCGGTCGCGCCACAGGTAGAGACGTTGAGCTCGACAAAGTCTTGGTAGTTGTTTCGGGCCATCAGTCCGACAGGAGAGGGCCAGCGGTCGCCTCCTCGAGTAAGGGCGTAGACATGAGCACATGCCGAGCGAGCAGGGAGGGGTGCCCATCGCTCGCTCGCGGAGTGATGTGACCAGCGGCGGCGGCGAGCGATGCAGCCCCCACGACGGCGCTCCCCATGGGATCGACGCGCGCTGCCGCCGTGAAGACGGGCCCCAAGCAGCGGGTCATGTCAGACAGGGCTGCGAACGGGACGTCGGCCGTAGGGTCGCAAAGAGCCCCGACTGTCGCGTACTGCAAGAAGTCGACGGCCTTTGCTTCTGCAGATGGCGCTGGTCCCAAGGGTGTGATCGCCTCAGAGTACCCCAAATCGCCCCACTGCAGATAGAGCTCGGGCACCGGGATTTGGCGGGAGTGCAGAGCCTGGATGCACACCGTACGGAACGCATCCTCATCCACGTGCACCGTGCTGAAAACGCCGAGGTCGGACAAGGCGCCGAGGATGCGGCGCCAAGCCGCGGCCAATACGGCCAGCCGCAAGACGCTGAGCCTGTCAAAGTGGGTGGCCACAGCGGGCTCGGGCTCACTGAAGGGGAGCAGCGCACTGATGGCGACCCACTGCGGAATCTGGACCCACGACGGTTGCATCCCCGGAGGAGGAGGGGGCAGCTGGAGGAAGGCCGGATTGCCCACCACAGACCACGGAATGAAGCGCAGGGTTGAGCCCACCACTGTTGAGTCGACGGGTATCACCAGTGGCTTTGCGGGATCGGGGTGCTGCTCGGCCGGAATGCTGAGCTCGGCGGCAGTGAGGTCTGGCATCGCAGCGCCGGTCGTCTCGTCGAGGGCTACCTCTCGACTCTACTCCCGTGTCACAACAACGAGGCACGAGAGCGTGCACGACAGAGCGACAACGCAGCGCACTGCCGTCCAGTCGGCGAAGGGACGGCTGCTGCGCAAAGTGATCAGTTCTAATGAATGTACCGGGGCCCAACGGATAGATGAATCCGGGGCACCCTCCGCTCGAATCCCTGGCCGGGGGTTCGAGGTGGCCCCCACCCTGGGGCCTCCCATCAAAGGGACTGCGGCAGAAGACGTCCAATCTTGCACAAGTGCAAGAACCATACGGCTCTCGGACGCAGCACGTAAAGAAATACGCGCGGCACTGCAAGGTGGTGGCGAGGGCGGCGATGGCGAGGGCGGTGGAGGCGATGGTGGTAGCGGCGGGGGCGGCGCTGGCAAGGGCGGCGGCGGCGAGGTGGTGTCGTCGGTGAGGGCGGCTGCGGCGGCAGTGGCGGCGGCGAGGACGATGGCGGGCTGGGCGGCGGCAAGGGTGGCGGTGTGGCGGGGGTGGCGAGTCGGCTACGAGGAGGCGGCGTGCGGGTTGGCGGCATTGGCGTTGGCTCTACGCTTCCTGTGGGTAGAGGGCTTGGGCGGGGGTGTTGGCGCCGCTCTAGCGGGGGTGGCGAGGTCGGCGGTGGCGAGGTGTTGCTTTCGCACTAGCAACACCATGATGGAGCGGAAGAAGTCGGAGCGGCGCTTGGCGGTGAGCTGGCCCGAACCGCCAGAAGCGCGCTCGGCAGCCATTGAGTTGGCGAACAGGGAGGAGAGAAAATCTCGAGAGGCGGGTGGGCCGATGCCGCCGAGGGTGGTGACGACAATAGGGAGGAAGGCGCTCAGTTCTCTCGGGCTCTCTCGTCGATGGTGACAGCGGCGTCTCTCGCGGCGGTCTGCAGGTGGCTCGGAAAGAGGGGGAAGAGGAAAAGGGGGAAAAGGGGGTCCGAAAAAAAGAAGACACACTCCTGGGCGATGAGGGTGATCTGGCTCGCTCTCTGCGGCGGCGCGGCCGCCTTCCAGGCTGGCCCGGCGCTGCGGCAGGTGCCGCGCCGCCACGCCGCTCCGGCCGCTCTCGCCGTCGACGGGCTGCACGACGCGCTGCAGCAGGGCATGCACGGCGCGTCGCTGCTGCTAGCCGACCGGCCGCAGACGGCCGAGGCGATCCGCGCGGCAGAGGGCACGCTGGGGTGGTGGGGGACGTACATCAAGACCGTGGAGGACGGTCTGATCACGCTGCACGACCTGCTCAGCGCGAACGGCGTGCCCAACGCGTACGGCCTCTCGATCTTCCTCTTTGTGCTCGGCGTCAAGCTTGTGACGCTTCCGCTCAACTGGAAGCAGATCGACTCGTCGGCGCAGATGAAGGCGATCAAGCCGCAGCAGGACCTGCTCAACAAGTGGTATGCCGACAACACGCAGTTCAAGAACAACGAGATCGGAACCCTCTTCGAGAAGGTTGACGTCAACCCGCTCGCCGGCTGCCTGCCGTCGCTCGCGCAGATCCCGGTCTTCCTCGGCGTGTACTACTCGGTGACGGCGATCGCAAAGGCAAAGATCTTCGACGAGGGCTTCCTCTGGATCCCCAACCTCTCCGGTCCCATCTCGGACCGCACCGAGGGGCTCACCTGGCTCACGCAAGGGTGCGCAACACACAACACACAAAGCTAAAATCTCTCTCTCTGGGGGCGCCTTCGTCCAGGGCGAGGCCCCGCGCCCCCTCGCTAGACGCCCGCCCTCCCCTGCCTCGCAGGTGGGTGGACGGGCACCCGCGGCTGGGCTGGCACGACACTCTCTGCTACGTCTCGATCCCGCTCATCCTCGTCTGCGCGCAGACCCTCTCCCTCTACCTCCTCGGCTCCTTTGACGCGCTCGACGAGAGCGAAAACTCAAAGACGGCCGCCGTCGCGCTCCGCTTCCTGCCGCTGATGATCGGCTGGTTCTCCCTCAACGCCCCCTCCGGCCTCGGCCTCTACTGGACCTTCAACAACATCCTCACCACCGCAACCACGGCGCGACACCCCTCCCCCTCCCCTCTCCCGCCGCCTTCCCCGCCCAGCCTCCTCTGCTTGCCGCCGGCAGGTGACCGTCAAGAAGCTGGTCGAGAAGCCGCTCCTCGAGGTCGAGACTTCCGCCCTGCTCGCCCAGGTATTAATAATTATTATCAATATAACACTAGAAGCCGCTCCTCGAGGTCGAGACTTCCGCCCTGCTCGCCCAGGTCGGCCCCCGCCAGCCGGTCCGCCCGCCGCCCGACGACGCCGCCGCCGAGTGGGTGCCGGCGGGAGCGCCGTCCGCCGCGGTGGCAGCAGCAGCGTCGAGCAGCAGCAGCGCCGTCACGGCGCCGGCGGCCGAGTCCGCCTAGACGCGGGCGCCCTCGCCGGCGCCGCAGCAGAGGCGCCGAGATGTCCCCTCTTCCAATCCAGACACACGCACGTACACGCCGCTCACACTCCACGATGCTGCTGTCGTCCCGCCGGTCACTGGGCGGGCCGTTGCTCGCTGGGCACTGCCACTGGCGGAATCGTCGTTCCGCACGTCAGCAGCATGTATGTGTGTCCGCCCGCCGGCCCCGGGCCTGTGTGGTGTGTGCGCCGCCCCTGTCGCGAGCGCTTCTCTGTTCTCACTGTCTCGCGTCCGCGTGCCCGTGTGCCAGGGGTGATTTTATACTGTTTAGTGTTTTTTGGCGGCGTCTGATAAAAGTCATAAAAGTCTGCCACCCACCATCCTGTGGTAAAGTGCTGCGGTATAAGCAATAACTGTGACCTGACCGCACGACGCACGGGCCACGCCCATGTGACCCATCGCCCACGGCCCCCCTGCGCCTGGGGGCGCTGGAGGGGGCATGCCCGCGGCCCCGCGCACATGCGGGGTACGAGCGACGATGAATGATGAATTGCGTGCGGGCAGCGAGGCGGCTCCGCTCAGAGCCGCCTTCCCCGCACGACGACCGGACATGCACGAGGCCGAGGCCAAAGCCGCCCGCACGATCAGAGCTAGGGCCACCCCGGGGCGGCCCTACTGCACCTCGGTCGCGACGAGGCGCTTGTCCCAGCCGCAAGAAAGAAGCGAGGCGTGCGCGCCGTCGGAGGGAGGGAGCCAGCCGACGCCGCTCACCACGTCGGAGTGGGCGGCGGGCACGGGGCGCGCGGCGAGCGTCGAGAGGTCGACGAGGGAGAGGGAGCCTGAGGGACAATGTCGGGGACACGTCGGCGACGCGTCTGGGAGAGAGAGCCGGGGCGAGGGGCGAGGAGCCGTCGGCGTGTCCCGCGGCGGCGAGGGGCGCGCCGCCGGGGCGGGCGCTCAGGCACCGCACGGCGCCTCGTCCTAGGGAGACGCGGCGCGAGGTGATGTGCTGGCCAGCGCGGCCGCCGCTGCCGGAGCGGAGGTCGTGGATCGCCTGCGGCGGCGGAGCGGGAGGCGGAGGGGAGGTGGGTGAGGGTGGGGCGAGGTGGGTGAGGAGGCGAGGGGGGTGAGGCGAAGGCGGCGGGGGGGGCACGGGAAGCGGTGCAGGGGCCGCACGGGGCTGCGGTGGCGGCTTCACCACGTCGCCCGCGCGAGTGCCGCTTGCGAGGGACGTCTCGTCGAGCGGCGCGAGGCAGCCTGAGCCGCAGCCCTCGCGGGCGACGGCGCGGACCGCCGCCGGCACGCGCAGGTCCCACAGCCGCACCTTGCCCTCCTCGTCGCAGGTGCTGAGCAGCTCGGCCGACAGCCACGCGGCGGCGGCGACGCCGCACTCGAGCCACGGCTCCGCCGGCTTGTGCTGCAGACACCGCTCCGCCTGCGCAGCCGCGCCGCACGCCCACACCCGCACCGTGCCGTCGGCGCTGCCCGAGGCGAGCCGCGCGCCGCCCGGCGCGCACGCGACGCACGTGACCGCCTGGTCGTGCTCCGAGTACACGGCCACGGGCAGCCGCTCCTCGTCGGCCGCCGCTCCGGCAGCGCCGGTTCCGAAGCGCCACACCGTCACGTTGCCGGCGTCATCGCCGCTCGCGACCAGGCCCGAACCGGCCCACGCGACGGCCGCGTTCCCCACCTCCGTCTCGACGCTCGCAATCACCTCAGCCCTCGCCGCGTCCGCGGCGCAGCGGAGAACGACGAGGCGGCCATCCCACACCTCGCCAGTGAGCGAGGACGTGGCCAGCGCGACCAAGCCGTCCGGGGCGACATCGAGCGACTCGATGTGCTGGTGCTTGGTGTTGAGGAGCTCGGACATCTCAACGTACTCAAATAATAGTAGCGATAATTGAGCTCCAACCGCTCCAACCGAGCCAACCGAGGGCGTCGTGCTCCCGGGCTAACACTTTAAAAGAAAAATCATTGGGGTCTCGAGTGAGTTTGCGCTATCGCACGGGCGGGGACCTGTTCCTTTTTACGAACGAATTTTACCCATCTCCTAGTAGAGGTAGCCGTATTATTTATTTATTCATTATAGCAACGCGCCGCCGCGGCGCTAGTATGGCTAGTTATCCGCGCTAACAGTAACACTCTCGTAACTGGCAGAGATGTGCCGCACCCCGGCCGCGTGCAGCGCTGCGGAAGCCGGGGACGCTCTTGAAACATTTAGCTGTTACGCTGGTTCGTGCGCTCTGACTACTACACAGTGTGGGGGCCACAAGAGAGAGCGACGGGGTTCACACAGAGCGAGCGCGCGAGGCGCTGTTCTGGTGGCTAGTGCACAGGCATCACTGCGTTGAGTCCCACTGCAGCTGTGGTCTCAGATGGCTGACGATTCGCGGCAGAACATCGACCAGCCCTCCGTGACGCAGGCCAAGCCGTGGTCGCAGCGAAAGTTGGGGGTTTCGGTGCAATCTGCGCCGGCGCTGGCGCAGCCGCCGCAGTACATATCCTTTTGCAGGCAGCCATCCTCCCAAAAGCAGGAGGAGGACGGCGTCGGCGCGATTGGGGGCGTCGGCGGAGCCACCGGCGGGCTGGACGGGTGCGATTGGTGGTCGACACCGTAGACGCACTGGTCGAAGGTAACAAACTTCCACCCGTTCTTGTCTGCCGCCTGCTTGAACTGCTTCCAGTAGGCTGCGGAGAGGTCACCTGAGTTCCTCCCGTGCTGGAGCACGTTGTGGGAACCGCTTGCCGGCTGCGACACGATGCTGTTGAGGCAGCGGTAGACGAGGCAATGATCACCCATCCAGTCGTTCGTGTCGTCAGTCAGCCAGGCGATGCTGTACCCTTCCTTGACAATCTCGGCGGCCGACGACTCGGAGAGGTCGAGAAACGGGGGCCGCAGGTGGTAGAAGCCGCCTTGGCCGGGCCCCCCTGGCGCAGATCTGTTGGCGTTCCGCTCGTACTCCTGCTCCAAATTGCGCAGCTCCTGAGAGACCGTCGAACCGATCGCCGAACAAGCTTTGCCAGGGCAGTGCTCGTTCCCCGCGATGCAGCAGTGCGTCTGGGTGTGAGAGGCCACTTGGTGGCCCATGCCTTCGACGGCATCCAAGCTACCCCACAGCTTGCCGCCAGGGACGTTGATGTCGCTGTCGCCGTTGATGAAGAAAGTTGCAACGATGCCGGCTGCGTGCAACCTTTCCGCCGTGATGACGTCTCCAGCCGTGAAGCCGTCGTCAAAGGTCAGAGCGATGACGCCCTCGTCCTTGCAAGTCGTGACCAGCCCGTCCCACCCTGGGTTCCAGGTGCGCTGGCAGCAGTTTTTGGTGTACTCGTAGTCAAAAGGATCGCAGCGATCAGTAGCACACTGGTCGACGGACACAGGTGCCGCGTAGGTGGCCACGAGGGCGAGCAAGAGCGAGCGGCAGAGCATGGCGGGTGCGAGAAGAGAGGACCTGCAGCGAGAGTGGCGGTGGTGAGGGCGGGCGGTGGCGATGGTGGTAGGGCTGTGACCGTGAGGGCGAGGCGGCGGGGCGAGGGCGGGCAGAGGAAGGCACGAGGCCAGGACGGACGAGGAACGAGTGTCGGACTTGGAACTTGAGCGACGTGCGTGTGACAGCGACTCATCCACTGGAAACAGCGATCGAAATGGCCTAAGGAGCGTGACGGCGTCTGCCTTGAGAGCCAGAAGAAGGGAGGAGAGAGAAAAAAACCACACGCTCAGCATTCTCACAACGGCAGAAGAATTTAACAAAAACAACTCTCTCTCTCTCACTCACAGCAGAGAGCAGTGAGCAGACGGCAGAAGAAAAGAACGAGCCACTCGAGTAGCAGTGTGGCTTCATTTCTGTACTCTGTCCCTTGCGCCCGTTTAACTGTCGTGCCCGCAAAGTCACCCCATTCACAGGTGCCGACCGCGAATTTTGTGCAGCTGAGAGCAAAAGGATGACATGCATGGCAAGTCGCTCTGGCTCGATGGCAATACTCCTTTCGAAGGCGGCGGCAAAGCCCCAGAAAAAGTTTTCGCCGGGCTGGGGGGAGAGGGGGGGGGGGGGGGGGGCTCAGGCTCAACAGTCGTCGGGGGCTCCTCCATCGAGGTTGGTTGGAAAAAAAGCGGCGGCGGGGGGGGGGCGGTGAACCGGGGGTGGTAACAAATCCCCCCCGGGCGTACGGGTTTGGTAACAAATCCCCCCCGGGGGTACGGGTAAACCTCCCCTTCCCGGGCCCCGAACACCCAAACAAAGGACCCCTGTCCCGGACAGCAAGGTCTGCAAGGAAAAGTGGGTCCCCTTCGCCTCGCTCGCGATCAGCTGCTAAGACCTTCCCGCTTGCCCGAGCTCCCTCGCAATCAGTAACGACGCACCCGCTGGCTCCGCAACCCTGAAAAAAGGAACGATAATGTCCTCCTCGCGCCTCATGCACGCAATCGGTCTCCTTCACCGTTGGCGGCGCCGCGCAACGCTGACTCCGCCGGCCCAGCGGCTCTACCTGACTGGTGACGGTCAGGCGTTGGTTCTGCCCAAACATGCAGCGAAGACTGCCCTCATCGAATGCTCGACTCCATTCCGTCCAGAGGAGGCGCTCGCCAACCTGCGCGAGGAGCCGCCCACGCCTGGCGAGGTTCTTGGGAGACACAAAGCCGTTCGCAAACGCGCGCAGGAGCTGGCAATGTGGTCGGGCGCCCTGATCGGCATCACGATGCTCAGTCCCTTAATCGGGGTACCTGCCGGAGGGGCCGTCGGTAGCATCGCCCTCCACGCGATGGTCAAGTTTCACGGGCGCCGAGCGGAGCGGCGGCTCGCGCGGCATCTAGATCAGTATCACTCGGAGTACAGTAGCGAGAGGTCGCCGTGAGGTACAGTAGCCGGGGAAATCGATGGCGGTGAGTTTTGTTGATTAATAAATGGAAAATAAATAACGAGCGTCCGTGTACCGCGTGAGCCGAGCGAGAGCGGGGAGAACGCGGATCGAGAGGGCGGACAGAGGGCGCTCAGAGCGCAGAATGCCAGCGGTCCCCCCAGCGGGCGAACAATGAGCTCAATAGTGCGCCGTGATCCCGGACGCGAAGGGGGTTCTGGAGTCGACAGTGGTAGGAGAGGTGACCCGAGCCGCCGGGTGCCCCGCATCGGCCTCGCTGGGCCAGAAGATCAGTCCGCGAGTGCTCTCCGCAGCAGCCTCGCTGAGCCAGAACGTCGGCTCGCGAGGTGGGGTGCTAGTACAGTATGAGCCCGAGCGTCGCAGAGTTCTTGCTGCAGGTGTACCTGTGTTAGTGCCAGTGCGCGCCAGTCCCGTGCCCAGTGTTGTGCGAGGGAGTTTGTTGGCCTTTACACCATATTCTCGAATATCTTTGAGAATATAAATAAATAGAGGGTCCCGCGCACTTCCATAACCATATTCGAGAATATTCTCGAGAATATAGATAGATGCCCCGGCCGGCTTTTCCCTCAAGAATATACGAGCTTTCCGCAGCCCTTGACCTTGGTGGACCTCGAGTGACGAGTCCAAAGATATTCTTGAATATTCTTGACGTTGCCGCTGTGCGGCGTCTAAAACGGTCTTGACGAGAGCTCGAAACAGCTATTCCCCCCTCAACAGTAGGTTTCGGGTCGATGCCGACTGAAATCTTTAAGTTTTGGAGGTTCTGAGCGGGTTTGGGAGCGACTTTTGGTCTCCGTCGATATACTCGAGGTCAAAATATTCTCAATATTCGAGAATATTCTCGAGAATATAGAGGGCCCAGAGAGAATATGATGCAAAGAATATAGATAGCCTTTGCAGAGAAAAGCGTGTAGAGCTCTTAAAGGCCAATCCTCGCTACCCAACGCGGCCAAAGGATATCCACCTCGAGAACCTCGAGAAAGGCCAAAACGGGTAAAATTCTTGCTTCATGCGCTTGCGCACGGCGAAGACTGGTCGTGCGGTGCGGCTTTTCTCGTCCAACTGTGGCGCCGCCTCCGCCTCGCCTTCGACCGGATGGGCACCGAGTACGACATCCTGCTCTGCGGCGTGACGGGCTTCGCGGGCAAGCTCGCCGCGGAGCACCTGCTCGTGAAGAGCTACCCGATCAAGTGGGCCTGCTGCGCTCGCAACGAGGCCAAGGCGGCGGCTGCGGTCAAGACGATCGCGGACAGGGTCGGTGCGACGGCGCTGCCGCCCATCGAGGTCGCCTGCCTCATCAGCGACGAGGCGAAGCTGCGTGCGGTGGTAAAGAAGACCAAGGTCGTCCTCACTTGCGCTGGCCCCTTTGAGAAGTACTCTCAGACGCTCGTAAAGGTGTGCGCCGAGGAGGGCGTCCACTACGCAGACATCACGGGCGAGTCGGACTTCTTCCGCAAGATGATCGCCGAGCATGACGCGACCGCGCAGAAGACGGGCGCCAAGATCGTCATTCACTGCGGCAACGACGCGATCCCGTGGGACCTGACGGTCTTTGAGATGAGCAAGCTGGCGAGGAGCAAGGGCGCAGAGCTGGCCGAGGCGTGGACCTACGGCGAGTTCGGCGCTACGGCGGCGGCGAGCGGCGGCACGCTGACGACGGCCATCTACCAGCTCGGCAAGAGGCGCGGCGGCGCGAAGCCAGACTTTGACCCGCTGCTCAAGAGGCCGGACGGCAGCAAGTCGGAGAGCCTGACCAAGATCACAAACCCGAAGCAGGACGTCTACTGCGACGAGTTCGCGCAGTACGGCGGGCCGTGGATCATGGGGCCGGTGATGGCCAACTGCGTGCGCCGCTCCAACGCACCGTCCCCTCGCCGCCCTCTCTCCGACTGCTGCGGCCTGGTCCCGTGACCAGCCGTGGTTGCTTTTAGGCGCTGCTCGGCTACAGCGCCAGCCTCACGTACGCCGACGTCATGCTGCGAGGCCACCCGACGTGGGCGCAGTGGGCGGGCGCCAAGGCGAACGAGGCGCTGGTCGGCGCGGCGGTGATGGCGCCGCGAGTCTTCGCGCGGTTCCTGCCTGCGCCGGGCGAGGGCCCGTCACGCGAGGACATGGACGCGGGCTACCTCAAGCTGCACGGCAGGGGGAGGATGGTCGAGCGGGACGGCAAGGAGACGCCGCTCAAGTCGACGTACCACTTCCCCTTGGACACGGGCTACCTGATGACTGCGCAGATGCTCGTCGAGGCGGGAATGGTGCTGCTCGAGAAGGCCAAGGCGGGCCCCGGAGGCGTCCTCACGCCCGCCGCCGCCCTCGGCAGCGACATCGTCGCGCGGCTCGACAAGGAGCTCGACGCAAAGTTCGAGATGAGCGAGGCGTGAGAGAATCTGCATACATGTAAATCTCTACCCAACATCGGAAGATCCTTGGGGACTGTAGTCCGTAGATGCCTTTTAGAGATCTCAGAAAAGGCCAACAGAAGCAGTCGAGATTGAAGTATGAAGAAGCAAGAACTGGTGGGAGGCAAATCTTCCCCGGTGTAGATGCTCGAGCGAGGAGTCGTGTGAGCACTGACCACTGAGGTCTGTGATCTCGAGTTGGTGGAGGTGCAGTCGCTTATCCATCGCGTCCGAGTCCCCGTTGTTCATGCTGATATTGATTGTCATTGATATTGGTCCTAGAAATCGACTCCTGGGTTGGCTGGCCCCGAGAGCTGCGTCTCGAGCTCCCGGTGCCGTTGCCAGACGACCCCGGGGAGCGTCGGCGCCCAAAAAGGCGGCCCGACGCTCACACACAACACAAACACAACACAATCGTCTGCCAGGGAGGGAGGGTGGGGCAGACGAGAACGGGACTCGGGCGCCTGGGGGCGCGAGGGTCCGACACACGAGTTCCGCGCACGGACGGACGTAACGATCCGGCCATCGCGTCACGTTCCACACCTTCCGGTGATTATTCTATGTCGGTTCCTCTCCTCGCGTTGTCGGATAACCTACATAGCCGCTGCGCGGCTATCTCCGATTATCCATCGCGTCCGAGTCCCCGTTGTTCATGCTGATATTGATTGTCATTGATATTGGTCCTAGAAATCGACTCCTGGGTTGGCTGCCCCGAGAGCTGCGTCTCGAGCTCCCGGTGCCGTTGCCAGACGACCCCGAGCGTACCAACAGGGTGGAACCCAAGATAATCACCAACAGGGTGGAACCCAAGATAATCACCGCAGGATGGAACCCAAGATAATCACCGCAGGGTGGAACCCAAGATAATCACCGCAGGGTGGAACCCAAGATAATCACCACCATGCTACCCGGCTTGCGAGTAGGGAGGAGGAGGCTGCGCTGCACAAGCACGGGCGGGAGGGGCTTTCTCCTGCGGAGTCGTGCGTCACCTCAGGGCTCCTCTTTTCGCCGTCCGCCAGCGAGACGCTCTGTCGCTGGCGGCCGCGCGCCCGCGAGATCCAATCTCGTACTATATCATTCACGCTTCGGGCAGCCGGGTTGCCGCTTTCGACCTCTCCCGTCTCAATCGGGGGTGGGCGTCGCTGCCCGGGGATTGATCTCCCACTCGTGTGTGTCATTACCCATTCACACGTGTGTCTTTACTCGATCCCACTTATTGGGAATTGGGTTCGTATATTCGGAAACGACGTAGTCTACAGAGGGTGTGCCGCTCTCGCCTGTGTGCACTGCCCAGGCTCGTCGCCAGGGACGGCGGGGTTAGACCCGCCTCCCAACTACGGTACGAGATGTATGTAGGGAGTATTCGCAAAGAGGTAGAGGAGCCCCGCGCACGCACGATCCTTGTCGCCGATCTGCAAGCGGTTAGAACCTCGCGACTGGCTAGGTAGCCGCCCATCGGAGCCACGGAGCGCCGCCTCGCCGGGGTCTCGGCTCTGACGAGCCATGCTAGCTCCGGCCGCAGCCCCGCCCAGCCGCCCTTAGTTCGTCCCTCGGTAGAGAAGACTAATCCTGGGGGAAGCAACCGGGTGGAGATCCGTTTGCATTGATTTGTGAGTGAATCCATTGCGTATCTCCTTGAAGGTTCGTCTGGCATTCCACGCACTCCTTGTACATGCAGTGCTGCTTGGATGCGTGACTTGAACGTGAAGCTCTTTCAAGCCCGCGGTCTGCTGCCAATTGCTGCATGCACGTCCCCTTGTACCACACGGATCTGTGTTCAGCATCTAGGATGACAAGCTCGGAGAAGGGCGGGATGTGGAACGCAGCACCAGACTCGTCGCTGGTGCCGTTGCCCGCGTGGATCCGTGGAAAGTGAATGCAGCATATTTGTTGTCGCGCATGATGGCCACCTCGTGCGGCTCGACACGGACAAGCTTCCTCACCTCGACGATCTCTTCGAGCGGCTGCGGAAAGAAGAGTCAAGAGACCCTACCAGCTGAACCCATCATTAGAGCGCTGATAACCAGGCCTAAGACTGTGCATGCAAGTGCGCCTGGTCCGTCACCAGCCGCTGCTGCGTGCTGCCTGGCCAGTGTTTTTGCAGGGACAGCAAATCAGCACGCGAGCGTGCCCGGCACCGCCGGGCCGTCTCCCCTTGGGCGTCTGTGGCTCTGTGCCTCGAGAGGAGCCGCGACCGCGCGCCTTGACACACTGGTGAGTGGAGGAGACAGACGGCAGATCCTTCGGAGGAGATAGATCTATTTAAAAAACGTGTCCAGCCTCAGTGGTGTCTGAGCTCTGAGCGGTGAACGCGGTACGAGCTTGTTGTCTTTTTTCGCATTCTCACTCCGTCCCTGAAGGTTGCTGCCTCTGCCGCGCCGCCTTGAAGCGCGAGACCCGCATGGGGGGCGCAGCCTCCTCCGCTGGCGGGGTCGAGGCCGAGCGTGTGCATCGCTCCGAGCTTCTCAAGCTCCGAGCCCAGCTCGCGCACCTCCTCCTCGAGAGACTGCACCTGCGCCGCCACAAACTCAGCGCGGCGCTCAGCGATCCCGACGGCCTGCGAGGCGGAGCGGAGCGCGAACAGGTTCTCGCCGAGCAGCACCGTCACCTCGTTGGTGTGGCGCAGCGTGCCCGGGAAAAGCGCAAGCTTGCCGAGCGGCACCATCGCCGGCCGCTCGACGCGCTCAGGCAGCGCAGTCAGCGTCGCGCCGAGCGCTTCGTACTCCTCGAGGCAGGCGCGCATGCGTGCGAGCGCTCCCTCGCGGTCGCGCTTCTGCTCGCCCACCCGCTGGACGGCGCCGAGGATGGCGCGCGTGTGCTGCTCGCTGGCAGAGGCCATGGCCGCTTCGCTCGATTTCTTCAACCGCAGGAAGAAAAGAATTTTTGACGCGCTGCAGTGCAGAGAGAGATAGGAAGTGGTAGACGCCCGAGGGTGGGTGTGTGGTGGCGGCGTGCCGTCCTCCCATCCCTCCCTTGGCTTGTCTGTTTTCTTTCTTTCTTTCAGTCCCGTGCAGGTGTGGACCCTGTCCGCCTCCCCTATCCCACGTTCTTGTCTGTTTTCTTTCTTTTACACTAGTCCCGTGCCAGGAAGAAAAGAAAATTGCTGTGACGGACGGACGAGCCGAGGACGATAGAGAGCTGGCCCCACCTCCCGGGGAGGGGCGGCGTGGCGATCGAATGCCGCCGCCCTCACCCGAGGAGTCGGGCACGGGATCGCCGGAGGCGGAGGCAACAAGAATAGCCCCCGAAGACGAGACGGCGGCGAGACCGCGGTCAAAGAAGTATAAGAGGGGAAGGCGGGCTCCGCAGCCGACGCCGGACCATCGGAAATCGAATAGGAGGGAGGACCGGGAGGAGAGGGGAGCCCCCTCGGATGGGGGGTGGGGAGATCGGGCGGAGGAGCCCTGAGTGGCGATGTCGGGTGAGAGTATACGTCATGCTCGTGTCTAGTGTCTGGTGTTTACTAGCTCCGAGTAGAGGGGGCGTTCCGCCGCTAGGGGACACCCGAAGCGCAGAACCAACCCTCGGAGACCCGTGTTTACTTTAAGGCCCTTGCCCTGCGAATGCGCACCCCCGGGGCTAGGGCTCTCTTGCCCGTAACCCGACACCGATCATCCGGCCCGCTGGGTGCGCTTCTGAGCTCCCCGGCCCTGGATGTGAGGTTAATGACTGCACTCCAAGTGCTCCAAGTGCTGTGATTTGTGTGAGCTCTGTGCCTTCCGCCCTGAGAACGGCGCTCCACCACTTGAATGGCGTTCGCTTCGGCCGGCCTGCCGCCGCCGGCGCTCAACGCTGCACCGCTGCCGAGGGCGCGGCGCGCGGCCGCGACGGCGCGCAAGCGAGCGGCCAACGATGGTCAGACGATCGGCGTCAAGCGCCGCCTCAACAGCGAGCTCGAGAGCGCGCGCATGGACGTCGACGACGCCAAAGAAGGAGACACCAGAGTCGTGGACGCCACACAGATGGCCGCTGAGGCGGCCGCCGGCGCCGACCGCGGCACGAAGCGCCTGCTGCACGTCGCCCGCTCGCGGCGCGCGACGGCACGCACATCCCGGACATCCAGAACACGACGGCGCTCGTCACCAAGGTGCGCCAGCTGATCAAGAAGACACCAGGCGGCGAGGCGCAGCCGGCGAGCGCGATCAGCGTGCCCGTCATCGGCACGTCGCGGGCAATCTGCGTCGCCTTCAACGGCGAGAGCGAGGCACGAGCCTTCCTCGAGCACTACGCCGGCGGTGGCGTCCTACAGCTCCCAGCTCCAGACGACATCACCATCACCTTCGTCGCTCTCGACGCCTCCGAGTGGGGCAAGCAGGCGGAGGCGCGCGAGACCCAGGCGACCACGGAGTCCGACGGCCTCATCGCCATCCGCACGCGCGGCGCCATCAACACCGCCGCGCAGCATCGAGCACTTCGCCCCTCTCTTCGAGAAGCATTTCGGCAACGTCGTCTCCATCCAGGAGGGATATCACTCCTTCCTGGGCACCAAGTCCGACGAGAAGGACGGCTCCATTCTCTTCAAGAACGAGAACCTCGCCTGCAACCTCCCCGCGGTCCTGCCCAACGTCTACGCGAGCGGCGATGTCGGCGGACCTCTCCGCCTCGATGTCGGGTGTCTCAAGGTGCTCGGGAACAAGCTCTGCCCATCGTGCCGCGCCTTTGCGACGACCAGCGACGACATCATCCACGACGCGCAGTGCGGCGCGCAGGCACTCAAGGATAGGCGCGCAGTAGCGGCGAACGTCGCCCAGAAGAAGACCTTCCAGAGCGTCATCGTCGACAACAAGGTCGAGGTCGCGCGCGCGGCGGGCAAGGTCAAGGCGATGGCGGCGCGCGACGGGCTTGGCTACTGCCCAAACTTCAACCAGACCGCCCTCCCGTGCAAGACCAGCGCTCGCTGCCGCTACGCGCCGTGCGTCAACTTTGAGGCGCTCCTCCACACCGCCTTCAAGGACACAGTCTACGAGCGCATGCCGAGCGCGGTCAGGTTGGGCACGAGCCGCGGGCGGCGCGCAGACCGGCGCGGCGGACGGCGAGGTCAAGAGCAACAAGAAGAACTGGGCGAGCGTCGCTCGCGGAGCCGCCCGCTCCCCCTACGACGGCGGCCCACGCCTCGAACGAGCCCTCGCTCTACGAGGGGAGCGACGAGGAGGCCTAGGAGCCTTCCCGCAGCGCATCCCTAGCAGCGCAGCGGGCAGGGCGGCTCGCGCACACGCACTCACACACACACACACACGCACACGCACGCACGCACGCACGCACACACACTCGTCCCAACTCCCCAGCCAGAAATCCCGAGGAGTCGCGCAGTGCCTAAATAATGTCTGCGTCCTGTGTGGTGCGCGGTGGTCTGCCCTCCGCGAGCGGGGCGGGGTCTGCCCGTCGGGTTGCTTTATTTATTTAAAAAAGAAAGAAAACGGACAACCCAAGGGAGGGATGGGAGGACGGCACGCCGCCACCACACAGGGATTTTAACATCTTGGAGCACTGGGAGCGTTTATTATCGGTTTTGACCGCGCAAGATAAAAGGGTGGCTAAGGGCTCTGCCCGCAAGGCGCCCGCGTCGCAGACGCGGTACCATTGACAAATCTGCCATATACCCCCACACGAGCAAATAGCAAAATCCGAATACCCCGAATTGACCCTATTCTGACTGGGTTGTAACAAAGTTTGAACCACACGCGCGGCGCGAGGCCTTGCGCCCCATGCGGTACGGGGCCGTGAAACCCATCGCCTGGGGGTGCTAGGACACCGAGAGACATGATCCAGAAGTGCCAGGCACACCCACAGTGGTCAACACGAGAACGCCGAAATCGTGACCTCGGAACGCGGTCACGGCAAATCTGACTAATCTGTAACAACCGTTAATACGGATGGCTCACGCTGGCGCATGGCCTCGCCGCTGCTACCCTCCCGACCTCAGGTGAGCAGACAAGATCCCCTGAGCTGCCGGCGCTCTCTGATCGCCCGGATCGCAACTGCCGTGGCAAAACTGCGAGCTCCCGAGGACGTCTGGCGCCGAGTGCGTCTGGCACCGGGCACGGAAGCTCGCACTCGGCCGCACGCGATAGTGCTGCTGCGAGAGCGCCTGCCAGGTACGACATGTCTCGTGTAGACTCCTCCTGGGTCATGGTCGGTCATATGCAGGACGGCCAGAGTCGCCCACATCGCCTACGCGGTCCCGAGTGTGGTCAGGCTGATACACCGCGACTCAACGGTTGAGTGCGGCCAGCGCACACAAAAGTCGTCGACTGCGGCCTGGCGCGGTGATCATAGGTGCTGGAGACCAGGCAGTATGAGCCTGTAACTGGGCACGCATGAACTCGGTACCTACATTCGCAGAGGCCCGGCAAGGATGGGATCTAGTAGAGTGATTGCGCACTGAGACCGTGCTCCGTGGGTCGCTGGAATGACCTGAAAGGCATCCTCAGTGCCGCTGCTCGACTCTCCAGTGTCACAGCCGATGCCTGTGACCTGGTCACCGCCGCAAGCAGGTTGAGATCCGCGCCTCCTCGGGTGTGCCCTCATAGACAGCCTTCGGCGGCGCGTAGCGACGCGAGAGCCGCTCCTACACAGGCGTGTACGGTGAACCACCGACGGATAGAGCACAGATCTATGGTCACGCCGGCAGCCTCTGAGGTCGAGACGAGGCTGCCGGCGTCGCCGCTGCAGCTCTGGGCATCACCTGCACAAGCCAAGCAGACTTTGTTACAAAAGCGGAGGCGTGTCGACGCGCCGCGCGCTCACATACTTGGGCTCCCATCTCGGCGCGCGCGAGTCAAGGCCGAACCGACTAGCTGCCGCCGCGGCGGGTGTGGCTGGGCTGCAGGCAGGCCTGTGGCCGGCGCTCGGCAAGCTGTGGCGCGGCGCCGTCGCAGCGATTGTTACAAATTCGGCGTCCCAGTCAGATTTCTTTCGCCAGTCAGAAAAGCGACAATTCCGGGTACCGTGCACGAACTGCGTGATGTCGGCCGGGCAAGCCTTCAGCTGGTGCCAAGACGTGCGTAAACGAAGAACGTCCGCTTCGGACGGAGCAACTGAGGGAAGCCGCTGATCGAGCCCAGCGTGCCCGCGGCCGCCTCCCGCGCAGCACCGCCGCTGGGGACGACACGCTGCGGATTCGGATCGAGCCCGGGGGGCGCGGCGGGCCGCTCGATGGTCGTCCGCTTCGTCTGCGACAAGTCCATCCCAAAGGCGCGTGTCCTGCGATAGATAGACTCGACGGGCTCACCGGCGCGGGGTGGACGCAGGACAGATGCTGGCGGCACACATGGCGACAGGGACACACGGACAAGACACCCCCTCGCCTCTCCCTGCAGCCTGCCGACCGCCGCCGCTCTTTTCTCCTCCGCCGCCCGCCTCGCCTACCGCCTCTCCCTCCCTGCCGCCTCCCACCCTCCCCCTCGCCTTCTGGCCTCTCCCCGCCCCGCCACCTCTCCACTCGCCACTCCCCTCCCTTCGCCATCACCGCTACCCTCACCGCAGCCTCCCTCACCGCCACCGCCCCTCACCGCAGCCTCCCTCACCGCCACCGCCCCTCACCGCAGCCTCCCTCACCGCCACCGCCCCTCACCGCAGCCTCCCTCACCGCCACCGCCCCCTCCCTACCTCCAAAGGCGGTCCTCACCGAAGCCACCGGCGGCAGCCTCAAGTACAACCTCACGGTCCGCGCCGCCGCCGCCTGCCCGGTCGGTCGCTGCACAGCCAGCGCTGGGACTCGTCACACCTTTGCCACCCTCCTTGCGGAGCAGGAGGAGATCCGCTTGCTGTACTTTGAACAGCGTGCCAAGACCTACATTGAGGAGGTGCTCGTACCGGCGCTCGGCATCAGTGTGTTTTACTACGTGATGGAGTTTGCTTGGGCCCGTCGCTTCCGGGACCAGGGAGCGGCGGGGAGGGGGCAGATTCACTTCCATCTGCTCGGCTGGCTCGAGAGCGGCGAGCCACACCATATCATCTCGGTCGGCAACTCGAGGGACTCAGTAGTTGTGACCCCCCTGGAGTGAGTGAGGACAGGAGAGAGAGAGCTTTGTGGTGTTGGTGTACGCAATAACGGGACAGGGTAGTCGTTCTCTCTAGCTCCCCTTCTAGCTCTTAGCATGAGCTGCGCCCTGTGTCCGACCCCTTTTGCGCAGCAACACCTTAAACTTTTCAGGCCCTCCAAATTCGGGTCGGAGCGTAGCGGAGTGGGCCCCGAGTTTGAAAAGGGCGACGGACGCTTGCGTCCTAGCCTCCAACAACGCCTCCCCGGCGCAGAGGGGCCCCCGGAGGGATGCACAACCGACCCGCGCCACGCCGCTTGCGGCGGTCCTCTTCCCAGCTCCGCTGAGGGCCCGTGCTTTTTTTTCTTGCTTTGGTAAACCGGTCTGGTCGGCCAGCAGAGACATGCGCTGGCGCTCATCGCGCGCCGACAAGCCACCGTCAGAACTCGCAGCCGCGCGGAATGGCGGCCACCGCTCCCTCTCTCTCTCGTCGCGGCTTCTGCACACGCTCGCCGGAGCCTTCCTCGCCTATTGTGTGTGCATTGTCCGAGACAGCTGTGCGTGTGCCAGCAGCGCTGCCCCCAGTTTATCCACGACCACCGCCGCCGCCGCCAGACCTTCCGCCGCCGAGCTCGCGTCTCCACCGCTGCGGCCGTCCGCCGCCTTTCGAACAGCCAGCTCGCCGCCGCCTGAGCAGGCCGACACTGCCTGGTGCTCCTCGTCGCCGCCGACGACGGGCAGCGAGCTGAGCGTCAAGGACGTTGCGTTCGGCATCCTGACCGCGAAGAACCTCGTGCAGTCGCGCGTCCACGCACAGCAGCTCAGCTGGCTGCCGCAGGCGCGCGACGTCGTCTTTTACTCCGAGGCTGACCTCGAGGCGCTGCAGCCGACTGTGGTGAGGGCGCCTGCCGGGGAGGGAGGCGTGCGCGCCGCGGGGCTCAGGGCCCGGCCCTTTCCCCCAGGCGCTCGAGCCGCCTCCGAAGGAGGAGCTGGTCGGCGGAGGCGCATGGAAGAACTTCCCGGCGAGAGCATCAGCAGAGAGAGTAGCAGGGAGAGCAGCAGCAGAGAGAGCCGCGGCTCACCAGTGATGGTCCAGCGAGAGGGTACGCTTCCTCGCGCGGCTGAGAGCGGCGCCCCGCCGCAGGCGCTGATGGACCTGCACAAGCGCTTCCCGCGCCACGCTTGGATCTTCTTCTGCGACGACGACACCTACGTGTACATGGGCAGCCGTTCGCAGCCGCTCTGAGAGGCGCGGCAGACGTGTCCGTGACATGTCGTTGAGGTTCCGACGCACAGGCAACCTGCTGGCGATGCTCGGCTCGTACCACGCGGAGCGAGACTGGTACATCGGGCTCTACTGGACGCCGCGCATCGACATGGAGGGGAAGGAGGGGGAAAAACCCAAACATCGGGAAAGCCACACACCGGGGGACCCTTTCCCCCTCACACCCTGGAAGGGCCTCACTCCTCCCAGGTGATTCCTCCTTGCCAGGGGGGACACCTTTTGGCCCCCCCCCCCCCCCCCTCACCCCCCAAGGTACACATCGCGTACGCCTCGGGCGGCGCCGGCTACGCCCTCTCCCGCCCGATGCTCGCCCGACTCTCGGAGACAATGCCGCAGTGCCACACGAGGCTCGGGCGGTAGTGATACCATGCGAGGACGTACTCTCCAGTACTCTCCGAGACGATCAGTGCCACGCGAGCTCAGCGAGCGAACATCCGCGACACGTCCACGACACGTCCACTGCACGCCCCGCAGGTACACGCGCTGGGCAGGCGACATCCGAGTCGGAAAGTGCGTCGACGACCTCGCAGCAGGAGCGCTGCTGTCGAGTCGCGCGGCGCTCACGTCCTGCTGTGTGTGAGTCAGGTGCGTCAACGACTTGGGCGTGCGTGTGCGGGCCGAGGCGCCGTCCGGAGCGCGGCGTGCGTACCGCTCCACCCCTGCCCTAAGGTGGCGAGGCGAGGTGTTTGCGAGGGTAGGCTGGCTTCCTCCTCCCGTCGCACGACAATCAGATGAACTTGTTGTCCGCATCATTCGTGTGTTGTGATGACTAGGCTGGCTTCCACCACGAGTCGCACGACAAGTACGAGTGGGACAACACCGGCGGAGGCCACCCGTATGGAGACCTCTAGCGCAAGGCGCCTCTCTCCTTTCCTCCTCCTCCCCCCCTCCTCCTCCTCGCGACAGGTGCCAAACGTCTTCGACGGCGACGGCTGCGACGTGCCGCTGGCGGACACGCACCGCGCGCCGGCGCGCCAGGCGGCAGACGTGCGGTTGCAGTGCACGCCCTGCGCCTCTGCGATGGTTGGCTGGCCACCTGCAGCCGCCGCTCTCATACTCTACTATCTGATGGTACGTGATGTGATCTTAGGTTGGCGGCCACCTGCAGCCGCCGCTCTCATACTCTACTTATCTGATGGTATGTGATGTGATCTTAGGTTGGCGGCCACCTGCAGCCGCTGCTCTCATACTCTACTATCTGATGGTACGTGATGTGATCTTAGGTTGGCGGCCACCTGCAGCCGCCGCTCTCATACTCTACTTATCTGATGGTATGTGATGTGATCTTAGGTTGGCGGCCACCTGCAGCCGCTGCTCTCATACTCTACTATCTGATGGTATCTGATGTTTATTAGGTTGGCGGCCACCTGCAGCCGCCGCTCTCATACTCTACTATCTGATGGTATGTGATGTGATCTTAGGTTGGCGGCCACCTGCAGCCGCCGCTCTCATACTCTACTATCTGATGGTATCTGATGTTTATTAGGTTGGCGGCCACCTGCAGCCGCCGCTCTCATACTCTACTATCTGATGGTACGTGATGTGATCTTAGGTTGGCGGCCACCTGCAGCCGCCGCTCTCATACTCTACTTATCTGATGGTATCTGATGTTTATTAGGTTGGCGGCCACCTGCAGCCGCTGCTCTCATACTCTACTTATCTGATGGTATGTGATGTGATCTTAGGTTGGCGGCCACCTGCAGCCGCCGCTCTCATACTCTACTATCTGATGGTATCTGATGTTTATTAGGTTGGCGGCCACTTGCAGCCGCTGCTCGGCCAGCTGTGCGACGTGCAGCGGAGAGACAGCTGCACCCTCGAGCTGGTGCCTAGACACTTCCTAGACACTTCCTAGACACTTCCTAGACACTTCCTAGACACTTCCTAGACAGCTGCACGCTCGAGCTGGTGCCCCTCTCGGCCGCCACCGCCCACCCCGCGCCCCTCCCCCTCTTGAGCGCCGCCCCGCTCCACCGCAGGTCGTCTCGCTTCCGTGCGCACCGCGCTGCGCCCGCCCTCCCCCCCGCCGGCCGCCCCCCCTCCGTGTCCCACTAAAGGCGGCTGC